AAAAAAGAAAAAAAGGGAAAAAGAAGAAGAAAAAAACAAGAAAACCTGCAATATCTGGGGATAGCGCACTAAGAGAAAAAAAGTAGAGAAGAAGAATAATGAAGGAAAAAAATGGGAAAAATGAAAAACAAGGAATGGGATTAATCACAAGAAAAAAAAAGCACTTAAAAAAAAAAAAAAGAATTTCAACCAGGAATAGGGAAAAGAAAAAATGCTGAAAACTTGGACGTGGGAGGGGAAGATTAAGAATAATAGTAAAAAGGACAAATGTATTAATAATAATAGTTGTTTTAAAAAGTCAAATACAAGCAAACTAATCAGCAGAAAAAAGGAAGCGAAAAAGAAAAAAATAAAAAAGCGAAAAAAAAAATCGGTGGAGGACAGGGCAGGGCACCCAGGCTCCGTCTGAGCACACAGGCTGTGATGGAGTTCCTGTGGGCCCAGAAGGTAGGTGGGGTGTGTGTGGCCGCACCTCCATTCACCAAGCAGGTGTGAGGTATAAGAGTAACGAGGAATGTGGTACCTTTTCAGTCTTGGAGTTCCAGAGTGTCCTTGGGGTTTCTAGAAGGGAGAACGTGTTCTTAAGCCCCAGGAATTGACAAGAGCGCTGTCTCTTTAAATATCCAAAATAGTCAAGCCTCTTTTAAACCTTCAAAATGGTGGCGTCCTCCGGACCGGCAAAAGTCCACAGTTTAGCCCGCCTTTCTCTTCACCTTCTCTGTTTATTCCCCAGCCACCAGAACAGTCCTCTGTGCTGTCCCTGGCTAGCAGGGCTGATTTTTAGGTTAATTCTTAGGTCCTACCACCACTCAGGAATCTCCAAGCTGTCTGTGCTGTCAGGATCACTCAGGTAGATCAGTGTTTCTATATAATTACAGATGTAGATTAGTCAGGATTAGATCTGGGGATTTTTTCACTTGTGTCTTCCTCTCTAGGCTTACAGTATTTCTGGTTATGTTTGTTATCTATTTTTCATTATTAAGTATGATTTCTTTGTTTACTGTGTGCCCGGCACTACAATAGCATTTTATGGATAATATCTTTTTAAAGAGCCCTGAGTGACACAGACAGTTAAATGCTCAACCAGCAGTTCACCCACCCAGAAGCACCCCAGAAGGCAGGCCTGGGGTGTGCTTCTGAACAGCCACAGCCTTGAGCGCCCCGGGGAGCAGCTCTGCTCTGCACACACGGGGTCCCCGTGAGCCGGAACCCGCTCACCCTCAGCCACCAGCAACTACAGCACTTTTTCATATGCATAGCACCCCTTTCTCATCAAGGAAGCTTAGGTAGCTGTTCAAGGAGACACAGTTAATAAGGGGCAGAGCTGGATTCAATCTGTAATACAACTTCATACAAAACTTAGAAAATTAAAACAATTACTAAAAATTTCTGCCCCCCCTCCCAGGACAGCCCCTGCTAACAGCTGTCTTGGTGTAATGTGCTCGGGCCCTTCGAGAACAAGGCTGTGCTTGTCTTACATTCTTAACCGGTCTGTCTGTTACCACTGGAGTGGTGAGTCCGTGCGAAGGTAGTCTATTCCCTCGCCTTTATCCAGAATTGGTGAGGAATATTCGAGGGAAAAAGCATGGCTACCACTTTCCCTGACTGAGAAGAGAGGAAGACTACTCATCCCATTAAGCAGCTTCCTCCAGGACAGGCCCTTAATGTATGTCTGTGCGTGGCCATCTCATCTGCACTCAAGAGCATCTTTCCTGAGCAGGGGCGGGGCTTGTGTTTTTTAGGCAAAAAGGAAAACCCAAGAGGAAAAGCAAATACAAGATCCTGGATGCCACCGACCAGGAAAGCCTGGAGCTGAAGCCACCCTCTCGAGCAGGTAGAGGCTGTGTGTGGGGGAGGGGGGGGGTGTCTAGGTTGTGTACTCACGCTGTGAAGAGCCAGCATCACTTGTCCCTACCTGAATGTGCTGCTAACAGCTATTTGTTGTTGTTGGAAAAGCATTTTGCCCCCTTGCCTGGTCAGGGCTGGGAGTCACATGTGCCCTGAGCTGACAGAAGCTACGCTCTGGACCAGCTCTGCTTCCAGGGCTCCCTGCTCAGTGTGCATTCACTCTGCACAGGGACTAGGCCTCTGGCTTTCCTTTGCCTGCTTAGCACCCTCGAGTTCACTGCCCAGAGTTCAGCTCCCCAGTTGTCTCATGTAGTCAGGGACCTTGGCCTCTTTTTGCCTGACCAGCCTGTCCTTTGTGGGAAGACAACGAGGTGAGGAAGAGCTGAGATCGAAGCCAGTGCCTGCCAGTTTATATTCCTTCAGCCAGCCTGCCTCTTCCTCTATCCTCCCTGTCACTTGGCAGGTTTACATCCTCTGTTATAGTCACACAGTAGATGGGCAGGTGGCTTCCCTGCTGCTGCCAGCTGCATTGGACTCCTTGTCAGGTGCCTCTTACCTGAAGGATCTCGTTCAGCATGAGTACTAAGATGGTTTTCAGTGATGGTGCTGGGGAGTTAGGGCAGGCAGTTGTCTCTCCTCAGCTGGGCTTGGTCCCTTGCTGAGAGGTTTCAGTTTCACCATGGGTACCACAGGCCAGGCACTGCGTGCTTATGGGAGCTGGGCTCCGTGTAAGCTAGTCCTCAACACGCTACAAACAGAACCGTTTTTATACCTTTCATAGTTAAGACTTTCCATTGGGAGAAGCTAGCGCATCTGAGACACAGGCCCTGCCCTCAGAGTCTCAGTGTCGTAGAGGAGCGACGACAGTCGGAGGGGCCAGGTGCTCCAGGCAACTGGGCTGCCTACACCACAGGCGGTGTGGGAGGTGCTGGGGCTCAAATGGGCCCCAGTAACCAGAGGAGCAGGAGCATCACAGTCTGTGTGGGCTCTGCCGGCAGAAAGGCCTGGAGGCCAAATGTATACTGTCCACACAGCTCACCCCCGACAGTGGCCAGGGTTGTCTTAAGCTACTCTGAGTGCTTCTCCCACCTTATGGTCTGCTGGTCTGCTGGTGACTGTTTCCAACACAACAGAGAGAGAACTTTTTGGTTTGGGATCTTTTCTGGGATCTGCCTTTTTGCTGATCTCTCTTCCAGACAATTTCTTAAGGTTCTTATGTTTATGCAGAAAGTGCTTAGCCCTCTCCCTAACCTCCTAGTTAGAGTTGTGTTCCTCTTTCTCCTAAACGTCTGTTGTGAGCATTTCTCTCACTGAATTATAATTCGTTACGATTTTGTCGGTCACCTTACCAGTTGAAACCCTTGAGGGCGGGTAATGGCCTTACTCATCTGTGAATATGGATTGAGACCTCTGTGTGCCAGGCCCTATTGCCAGATTCTGGTTATATCATGATGAACCAAACAGACTTTGCTCTTGAGTAGCTTATATCAGACAGATATTAAACAAATACATTCACAAATAGACAAAATGTGATAGGAAAAGGTCTTTTTAAGAATAACATTTAAACTGAGACCCAAACAAGTTAGCCAGGTAAAGACTCCAGGAGATAGCATTCCAGGCAGGGGAACACAATAGTGAAGGAGCAGGACTGCTGGAAGGAGCAGGGCCTTTGCGGAAGCAGGAGGTAGCAATATGCTGGACATGATGAGCTGAAGAGGTGAGCAGTGACCTTGTGGATTTCTTTCTAAGAGCAGTGGGGAGCCTCTGATTGATTTTTTAAAGGGTAAATGATGTGATTTGGTTTACATTTTTAAAAGACAGCAATGGCTGCTGTTTGAAGGAATTGGAGGAGGGTAAAAGTGGGTTAGAGATTAGATAGAATATTGTTAGGATGGAGAGATGATGGGATAAAGAGGGCCGATAGGTTTAAAATACACTTTGGGAGAAGATTTGATGAGATTAGTGATACGCTGGCCAAAGGGTGTGAGAGGAAGAGAAACATGAAGGGTGGTTCTCAGGTGCTGTTTCAGCACCTCTGTGGCTTGGCTGGTGTCAGTCCCTGGGAGTTGTTGAAGATCAGGTGTCTGCTGGAGGATCAACTAGGACCAAAATGGAAAATCTTGAACATCAGTCTAAGAAGTTAAACCCTTATCCTGAAGGTGGCATTTTGGCAGAGCTAGAAAGTTAGTCTGGTGCTGCCATATAATAGATAGAGGGAAGAGCTTACAGGTTGAGGGGCCAGCCAGGAGATTTTTGCAATAGTCCAAGGAGGAAGTGATGATGGCTCAAATAGTGTGGTGTCAGCAGGGGTGGGAGGACAGACTGATTTCAAGCTGAGCGGCAGAAAGCGATAGTGTTGTTGACAGAATTGGGGCCATCTGGGACAATGACTGGGTAAGACAAGAGGAACTGAATTGGTGGGAAGAATAAGGAGGGACAAAAGAGGTCCAGAGCCAAATAGCCAGGGACCATCATTGGGAAGAAAGGACTCCTGGGGGAGGGTCCTCAGTGCTTGATGCTGCAGAGGCCAGAGGATCAGCATCGACGACTGGAGAAGTCATCGGTCACCTAAAGAGTCAGAGTAGAAAGAGGAATGACAGCAGAAGTGGAAATGCCAGTCATGTAGGAAGCAAGCAGGTGGTGAGCCAACAGGCCCCAAATCTCGAAAATTCCTGTTAGGACTTGGGCAGCAAGAACCGGAGAAGCAGGACAAGAGTTTGAGGGGACAACAAGGTCAGGAGTTCTCCTGGACAGTAGGTTCCTCAGCACATTTGTAGCAGAGATGCAGAAAGCTGGGTTCCCTATAGAGGTGAGGAAGGAGAAAATTGGAGATGAAGAGGAAGAAGTGGTTTGGGGCTAATTTACCTCTTTTGAGGCAGGAGGGAAGGAAGAGAAGAGAGATGACTCCAAGAAGTAAAGAGGAGAAATGAGAAGGAGACCTGGTCTCAGTGCAGCAGGTTTCTTAGTGAGAGATCGAGGGAGAGGGGCTGGGGCACAAGGATAGACTAGCTGCATCTGGGTGAGCAGAACAAACGTGGTGAGGCTGGAAGAGGGTCTGCAGGCCCTTCCTGCGGGTGGATCTTGGCTGAGGAGCAGCAGGAGCCCACTCGCTGTGCCGTGTCTGCACAGCCAGAGCACAGCTCTCGCTCTGGGCTCTGCTGAGCCTCAGGTCTGGCCCAGAGCAGACCCTTCCAGGATGGGGAAAATGAAGTTATGAAGCTGTGTTGTGTCAGGTTCAGAGTTGAAGCTTAGTTTGGAGAAGGCAGATTTTGTGGCCCCATGGCAGAGAAAGGCAGCATCTGTGGAAGTGAGCCAAACGCCCACTGTTTGCGGGGAGGCAGGTTTAGCTCAGGATGAGGAGTAACTAGAAATCTGAGTGGCCCTACCTTGAGGGAGCTTGGAGCTCTTGGTCACCAAAGTCACCAAAAGTGTGGCAGGATGCCTGCTCTCTGGAGGTCTCTTGTGGCCACTGGGTGTCACAGACAGATTTATACCACATGGGATACAATTATATCATTCCCAGAGCTGTGGTTTGCATTCAGCAGCTGGGGTAGGTTGTTTTGTTAATCTGTTGATTATCGTCAAAACTTTCTATATGAACTTACTGATATTTGACTTTGACCTATAAAAATGGCAGTTTTATGTGGTTCAACCTAATATGTACAGAAAGTCCTAAGTACAGCTTGATGGGTTTTCACCTATGAACACACCTGTGTGACCAGCCCTCCAAAAGTTCCAGCTTTGTGCTTCTTTCCAATTTCTTGTCCCCTGTCCTCCCCACACATTGAATACGTTGAACTTCTTTCCCAGGTGGGTTGTTCACCTCTTTCCAACCAGCAGTGCATGTCTTCAGACTCGGCGTGTTGCCCTGTATAGCACAGTACACTCCTTCTCATCGTCTCATTGCTGCATAATTTCCATTATGTGAATATACTGTGTTGATTCACCACGTACATTGTTGATTGCAAATTGAGTCATTTCCGTTGGTGCTACTGTGACGAGTGCATCTGTGAACATCCTGGTTCATACATGCCTTTTGCTGGGCACGTGTGGGTTTCTGTTAGGTGTGTACCTGGGAATGGAATTTTCTGGGGCAGCGAGTGTGTTACATATTCAGCTTTCACTCCTATTATCAGTTTTCAAGCTTTAATTTTTTTTAGTGGGAAAATGCACATTCAAGCATAAGGGACAGAGAAAGCTAGTAGTGGGGGGATTCGGGCCGAGTGTTGCAAACTGTGAGGCCAGAAACATACCTGCCCCTCAGGCTCCTGTCTTTAGTAGCTGTGGACAGAAGGGCTTTGGGGAAGGAAGGAACTTGTGAATAGTTGCTGGGAAGAGAAAGCCCCCAAAAGACAGAGAAGTGGGAGTGGGTGTTTTATCTACAGGGCAGAGTCGGGGCTTTCATACGACCTTGACCCTTCTCTGGGCAGCCCTCCCCCATCACATTGGAGAAGCCTAGGATGCTGGAGTTCCTGGCATGGTTGCTCCACCTTCCTGAGAGCTGGAGGGGGTGGTTCTTTGGAGTTATGTCCCGGGAACTGTACCCCTGAGATAGGCAAGGCTGGGTAACTCCTTGCCTGAGCCCTACAGCACCTAGCAGAGCTGGAATAGCAGGCAAGGTCCTGGGTGACACAGGACAACAGATATAGTCGGATTCTGGATGCCCTCAGCCTAGAGGCCATTTACAGCCTTCAGGCAGGGCTGGCTGGTGGGAGACAGAATGGCCACGTATTGTCAGGACACTCCGTCAGTGGTTTGTCAGGATCTGAGCAGGTCCAAGAAAGGGGAAATTGACTGTCGGTGAGAAGGTAGTGGTACTGCCTTGTGCAAACAAAAACACCTCACCTGACTGGTCACCTTTTTAAGAACAGAGGGAGGGTAGATCCTGTCTCTCCTTTCGGCAGTCCCCACTTCTAGTCAAGCCATCTCAACCTAACTTCGGACTTTTCTGAGGCAGTATTTTGCACAGCCAGAGAAATCTGGCTATTGGCTGGGACTCACCCTAAAGTTATTTATTAATAACCAAATGACTTTTTATGTCAAGGGCCTCTCTGGTGGCCACTGGGGTTAGTAGTGAAGGGGACCCTGAAGGCTTGGAGGCTCTCCGGGGCCTTTTCTGACCTGAGGTGCTTTTCCTTCGTGGCCCTTGTGTGCTCTGGTGAGCCCACTGCTTTGGGCTCTGTCTTAGTTCTCAGTGCTGCTCTAACAGAGATACCACAACTGGATGGGTTTAACACACAGACGTTTGTTTTCTCACAGTTCCAGAAGCTGGAACTCTGAAATCAGAGTCTGGCTCTAGGGGAAGGCTTTCCCCCTCTGTTGGTTCTGGGGGAAGGTCCTTGTCTCTTTGGCTTCTGCTTTCTGGTTCCTTGACATCTGTCTTGCCTCATCTCTGCTCTGCTTGCTTCTCTAAGCTCTTTCATATCTCAAAAGAGACTGACTCAAAATACACCCTGTACCAGTCCTGCTTCATTAACATAATAAAAACAACCCATTCCCAATTGGGATTATAACTGCGGGCTTAGAGGTTGGGATTCACAATGCATATTTTGGGGTAACCTAATTCAGTCCCTCATGTTTTGTCCTTTGGCCCCTAAAATATATTCCCTTGCCACACGCAAAACACATTCATCCCATCACATCATCCCAAAAGTCTTAAGTCAACTCCAGATCCAAAATCCCATCTTCTGAATTATCTGAATCAATATGGGTGAGACTTCAGGCATATTCCATCCTGGGGCAAAATTCCTCTTCATCGGTGAACCTGTGAAATCTAGACTGCAAGTTACCTGTTTCCAAAGTACAATCATGGAACAGGCACAAGGTAGACATTTCTGTTATGAATGAGAGAAATGGGAGGGAAAGAAGGGATAACAGGCACCAAGCAAGTCCACAACCCCACAGAACAACTTACAGTGACTCTCTGGCTTGAGAATGCGCTGTTCTCTGAGAACAGCTGGGCAGTGATTCTGCCTTCCAGACTGGGTATCGGCCATGCCCTTCGGATTCCGAGTGGGGGCACCTTCAGCTTCGCCCTTCAGGCCCTCTGAGATGGCAGCTCTGCTCCCTCGACTTTACGTCACCTCATTCTCCTAGTTCATCACAGTGGTGGTCCCATCCCTTCGGCCCTGGCAGGCCCCATTCTTCCGGCTCTTGGGCATCACATCTCCGCCCCTCGCTTTGGGCAGTGGATCTGGCTTCATCCACTGGCACTTGTGAATGGGAGTCTCATACATTGGAGCCAAGTTGGTGAAGATGTGACTCTTTGAAACCTAGGAGACCATGACTCCACCCTTAGGAACCGACGCAGCCCCTCTTTCTGTGCTCCTTCCAGCAGTTCTGTTCTGCTGATCTCAAAGCTGCTTCCGAAACCACAAACCCAGATCCACTGCCATCAAGTCAATTCCAGCGCATAGTGACCCTACGAAACAGTAGAACTGCCCCCTAGGGTTTCCAAGGCTGTAGATCTTCATAGAAGCAGACTGCCGAATCTTTCTCCCACAGACCAGCTGGTGGTTCGCAGCCAAATGCTTTAACCACAGCACTGGAGCTCCTGTGCTGCTCCGGAGAGAGGTTTTTTCTTTTTTTTTTTTCTTTGTGGAGAACAACAGATGTAGCTCCTTTGGCTTGTTTCCTGCCCATAGAATTCCAAGAGGCAGACAACAATCTGTCCTTTTCATTCTTTCTCTGTCCCCTTCACTCTAAGCTGGTGGATTTTCTGCCGTGGTATTTGGTTAGATCCATCAGTCACAGACTTGAGCTCTTTAACAAAAGATTATGTAGTCATATCCTTGGTGAACATTCTAGGAAACATATCCTTAGTTTGTACAACAGAATCTTCTAAGTCTTTAAGTTCTCTTTTCATTTTTCACAGTTCATTTTTAAGTCAGTCTCTTTCCTCTCATTTTTTACTATAAGCAACAAGGACAAACTACTTGGCCCCTTTAAGATGTTGCTTAGAAATCTTCTCAGACAAACATCGAAGTTCACTTACAAGTTATACCTTCCACCAAACATTTGAACATAATTTAGACAAGTTCTTTGCCACTGCATAAAAAGCATCATTCTTCCTCCATTGTCCAATCACATGGTCATCATTTTCTTTTAAAGCTTCAACAGAGCCCATTTAACATCCACATTTCTAGCAACACTTGGTTGCTGGCACCGTATGCATTCTCTGAGATGATGGAGGCTTTCTCTGTGGCTCTCCTCACTCCCTTCTGAGCCCTCACCAGAACTGCCTTCTTGACGCCCGTGGTTCTACCAGCAGTCTCTGCAAGGCAACAGAGGCTTTGCCTGTCAGGCACCTTGAAACCCTTCCAGCCTCTACCCGACACCCAAGTCCAGAATCACTTCCATGGCAGCACTCCACTCTGCCAGTACCAAATTCTTAGCTCTGCAGTGTTGTTATAACAGAAATACCAGAAGTGGATGGCTTTAACAAACAGAAATTTATTTACTCATTGTTTAGGAGGCTAGACATTCAAATTTCACAGTGCTGGCTCTAGAGTAAAACTCTCTGTTGGCTCTGGAGAAAGGTCCTTGTCTCTTTAGCTTCTGCTTCCTGGTTCCTTGGAGATCTCCATGTGTCTTAACATCTGTCCACATCTATCTTCCCCCATCTCTGCTCTGCTCACTTAAGTTTAATCTCTTTTATATCTCAAAAGACATAGGACTAAAGGTATACCCTACCCTAATCCTGCCTCATGAATACAACAAAGACAACCCATTCCCAAATGGGATTATAACCACAGGCATAAATGAAAAACCAAGCTCACTGCTGTGGAGTTGGATCCAACTCATAGCGACCCCTCCTTGGGTTTCTGAGGCGGTATCTGTATGGAAGTAGATTGCCCAGTCTTCCTTCTGAGGAGTGGCTGGTAGGTTTGAACTGCCAGCCTTCTGGTTAGCAGTCAAATGCCTTAGGCACTGCACCACCAGAACTCCTAACCACAAGCGTAGAGGTTAGGATTTACAACACATATTTTTTTTTGGGATGTCATTCAATCCATCACAGGCTGTCTTTACTGTCCCTGTCTCAGTCAGGGCACTCCCAGCAGAAGAGATTTCTCAGGGCCCCATGCAGGCTCTCTACCTCTTGTGCCAACTCTGTGAAGCTGGTGCCCACTGAGAACACGGAGACCCCCAGGGCAGACATCCACTGAGATTGACACTGCGTCACCCTCCATATCAGGGATACTACCACAGACTTTACAGCCTCACTGAGCCGGATATGGGTAAAAGCTTTCTCTCAAGCCTGAGTCCTCGTTCATAGGCTTCCCGCCTCCCATCTAATGCCACGCTGTTCATAAGGGGAGAGGGGAAAGTGTTCTTGATTTAAAAGGTATGGAAAAGAGGAGGTCACTGGGTGGCAGTAACCAAACTGATAGCTACTGAAGATGAGGAATTGCAGAAGAGGTGCAGGTCTCTGACCCCCACTGCTCGTAAGCTGTGAGCCTGGTGCAGCTCACCTCATACCCGCATCACCCTGTTTCAGAATCTCTGCACTCCTGGCACTTACTGAACTTACTGTGTACCAGGCATGTTTCCTTTGTCCTTCATTGAACAAGTATTTACAAGGTGTGAGCTATGTGCCAGGAACTGTTCTAGGTGCTAGAGGTAGAGCAGATTGTAAAACAAAAGCCCTGCTCTTGTGGAACATTCTAACCCCACAGCCCAATCCTGTAGGGTGTATATTATTATACTGACATGGACATGGAGAGTTAGAGAAGCAAAGAAACACGGCCAGTGGCAGACAGCGCGTGGGTGGCTGAGCTAGCAATGAGCCCAGGTCTGCTGGTCTCCAGTCAGCATTCTCTGACTTCCTCTATTGGATTGTTCCAGCCAGAACTGGGAGGACTCGAGAAGCATCTTTCCCATCTGTGCCGCCGTGACTTTCTCGGCCCATCTTCTCTGCTTCAGGCTGGGCTGAGGGTACAGGCCTGGCGGGAGCAGGGGAATGTTCGTGCTCCTGAGGTCGCTTCCTCGTCTCCCTCACAGGCAGCAAGCAGAAGGGCCCGACGTTGAGCAGCAGCCTGATGCACTCTGAGTCAGAGCTGGACAGTGACGATGCCATCTTCACATGGCCAGACCGAGAGAAGGGCAAACTCCTACATGGTCAGAATGGCTCCGTGCCCAACGGGCAGACCCCGCTGAAGACCAGGAACCCACGGGAAGAGATCTTGTAGCCACCTGGTCTGTCTCCTCAGGACAGGAGGTGGGCAGTGCCAGGGCCCGGAGCACTGCCAGGCTGGGCCGCAGAGCCCCCAAGCCTGCGGGAGCTGCTTTCTAACTCCTCATCCAGAACTTGAACCCAGAGACATTCTCCAGGACCCCTAATGAAGCTGTGAATTGAGGTTTCCTCTTTAAACCTGATTGATAGGCCCAAAAAGACCTTTTACCTCAGGGCCTCCTTTTTTGCAAACTCCTTCCCTGCCCTAGGGATCGACACAGCCAGCTCCTGGCCCACTCTCCAGCTCCTCGGTTAGCAGCATAGCTGCTCGAGGGCACCTGCACGAGGCGAGCAGGCCTGGCTGTGGCCCTGGAAGTTCTGCTAAGAGCTCTCCCCCTCCCCTGCACCAAGCACTAGGAGCCTCCCAGTGTCCAGAGCCTGCATGGGGGCCACCTCTTTGCTGTGTGCCTCTGGGGGGCAGTGCACTCTGTCACCAGGCCAGGAGGAAGTGGGCACCCCGTTCCCTTACCATGGATGCTGCCGTGATAGCACAGGTCCAGTTTCTGGTTCCCTTAGCACTGGAGTCCCACTCCCTTTTCTGTCTGCCCGAGGTTACGTGAGGACTGGCATTTCAGGGACACAGAGGGGCCGCAAAGGCGTGTGGTGTCGGAGCAGCCAGGCTGGATGCAGACTGTCTCCCTGCCTCTTCCTCGGACCAGCACCTGCTGCTTCAGGGCTCAGCTACCACTCCTATCCCCGGAGGAGACAACCACAAACGGACTGGAATGTTGTGGCATGAGAGTGCATGTGTGTGACTGCCCTGCTGTGGTCTCCTCAGCACCCCATCTGTGTGTCATCTCATAGTGTCCCTTGCATGGGGGTGGTGTGTGAGTGTGCGTGTCTGCATCAACTCCTCCTAGGGCTCTTGGCTACTCACAAGGCAACCTCAGCCTTGTCTTGGAAAGACCTTCAACTGCTTGGAACAGACTTTCTCAATCCTCTGGCCCCTCCATGGGTTCCTCAGCCATGGTGTCTGGGTGCTGAGGAATGGGAGCTTTAGGGAAGAGGCTTTTTTAAAGACTTCAGATTTACACCACTGCAGTGCTGTCTGTGAGACGATTAAACTGCTCCTTAATTGTTTCCCGCCTGCTTGCGTGCTGCATCCCTGACCTGTGCCGCAGGTCCGCCCATCCAAGCCTCCATGATGCGGTGGCCCTGGGCCTGGCGTCAGCCCCCATGGCTGACAGTCCTGGGACTCTGCCTCAGCTGCCTGTTCCTGGTGGACAGGTACATACCACGCCTGCACCCCTATTGGTCAACTGCTACTTGTGGCCAAGGGAGGGAGTTTTTTGTCCTTTCTTTTTATATCTTTTGTTAACACAAACATGAACCCTGTCCCCATGTGTCCAAGTGGTGAAACCTCTGTCCTCACATCCATGGTGTGGCCTTTAGAGTTTCTGGCCCCTGCTGTTCCCTGTTCTCAAATTAGTCGGGTTAGCCACATGCTCCCGGTCATTGTATACTGTTTGTGGAGCATGTGAGGGTAGGTGGGGTGGAAGGGCTGATGTTGTCTTGGACCCCCAAGAAAGGGAGAGGAGGACTTCTGGGCTCACACTTTGCCCTGTGCACAAAACCGGCTGAGGGTGGGCAGTGTGGGCCCTGCATGTATAGATGAAGAACCTGAGGCCTAGAGAGACGAAGTAACAGCCTACAGATGATACATGACAGGATTCGAACTCAGGCCCAGCCGAGCCTGTGGCTCTCCAACATGAGCATGGATCACAGTTCCCTGCAGGGCTTGTTAAAACATTGCTGGGCCGTATGCCACTGTTTCTGATCCCAGTATATGAGGAGAGAGTGCATTTCTAACGAGCTCCAGGAGATGCTGAAGCTGCTGGTTCAGGGGCCACACTTTGAGAACCACTGGTCCAGTTAAGCAGATTCAGTGCAGTGTGAATAGTTAGCAGCAGATGTCCCGTCATGAAGTAAAGGAAGTAAGTTCAGAGAAGGAGGGCTTATGTCTGCCAAAAACCAATCCAAGCTACTGGCACAGGTTTTCTCTCCCCCATAGCAGGCAGGCTGGGCAGAGCAGCCAGGTCAAAACAGCCCTGCCCACGGAAACTATGGAGCCGGCCTCGGGGGGCAGATGGGAGGGAGGAGGTAAGGATCAGGTGAGGTTGGTGTGTTGGGAACAGCTTCCAAGGGTTCAGGAAGTAGTTATAGCATTTGACTATTTATTGGCCTTGTAGGGAGGGTTCTGATGCCTCTGGACTCATTTATTTCTTTACCTCAGCTACAACTCACTGAAGGATATATTTTTATCTCAGTTTCAGAGAATAATTATTCATTTCTTATTCCTCCCACTGGGAACTCTGGTGACATGATGCCTAAGGCATTTGACTGCTAACCAGAAGGCTGGTGGTTCAAACCTACCAGTCACTATTTGGAAGGAAGATGGGGCAATCTACTTCCATAGTGATACCGCCTCAGAAACCCAAGGAGGGACCGCTATGAGTCAGAACTGACTCGATGGCAATGAGTTTGGTTTGACTTTTGGATTCTTCCCACCAGAAAAATGATCAAAAAAACCACGAAAACCCAGGAACTGAAGGTGCTGCTTCCCGGGCTCGGGGGTCTTGCCTTGATAACAGTGCCACATCTCTAGGATTCCCAAACGTGGAGAGAGCCAGCAATCCCTGGAGCTGCTTAGGAAGGGCTAGGCTACAAGCCAGATCACACCCTGCAAGCCCAAGGCAACCCTTCCCATTTGTGCTCCCAAGTAATACTTCACTCTAGGAGCCTGGGAACCCTGCCTTCACCAAACTTAGCTTGGCTAAACACTGCCTTCACCAAGGGCCCTGCAGTCTTTCATTTACTAGAGGGGCCAGAAAGGCGGCCAATAGAAAAGATCCTTGCATTTCTGGAGCCCCACTCAGTGCTGTGTATGCAGAGGAAACCCCCTAAGACTGGAGGCTGCAGCTGTGACCTTCCTGCTTGGGGGGCTAAAAGGGAGAGACTGATCTTGTTCTTCTGGCTTCTTTTGGATGGAACTGAGGCCCCCAGTCATGGAGAAGGCTTCTCAGGAGATAACACATGCAAAGGTAAGTGCAGTCAGGAGCTCAGGAAAGGAGGATTTGGGGAGCATGGTTCAGACCATCAACTCCTTCATAGAATTTCTGTTTAGTGTTAGAGTCCCACATAATCTCTGGTCAAACTTGGGCCACTGCTGCAACTCTCTCCACCTACCTAACTCCCTCCCAGTGTGGTGGTGTACCGTGCTGATGGCCACTAACGTCCAAGCTTTCACAGGACAGGCTGTGGCTATCCATCCTTGTGTCTCCCCACAGGGCCCCGACAAGAGTGCACCTCTGTGTCCAAGTGTTGCCCAAACAGGTAAACCTCCCCATCCTTCTGGGAAGATTTTCTGATTTTCCAAGTTTGACAAGGGCACTGTTCAGGCTCTTTTGGTCACAAAGAGCAGCAGCTCAGGTTACCTCTCCTGGGAATGAAGACAGGCCTCAGCAAGCTTCTGTCTAGTTCTCAGTGCAGATGTTGAGACCTCTGTCTGGAAGCCGCTGCTATTGCCTGCTCCCCACTGGAGCTGTACTTCAGATTCCCCGCCCCCACTCCTCACCTCTAACTGATGAGCATAGGTGGATGCCCTGATGACAACGGGTTGCGTTCTGCCTGTGTATTAGAATCACCTGGGGAACTTGTTTAAAGTACTGATGCCTGGAACACACACCTCAAAGGTTAATTTGACTTTTAAATATATAGCTGATCTTTATTAATTCCTCAGGTATTTGTGCAGCCTTACCGTACGCTAGAGAAGGGAGAAAGCAGGCCTCAGCAGTTCAGCCCCAAAAGACCTGTAAACCAATTAGGTTTGAGGAGGCAAAGAAGGAAAGCACCCAGGCTCCCCGTACCTCCTAATCACCTCAGGAAAGTGCCCTTGGCATTGAGTGTGGCAGATTAGCTATTCACCAAACCAGATTCCCTGTCCCAGCACACAGCAAGGCTATTGCCAGCACCTGCACAATCGCCTAAGAAGGGCAGAATGGCGTGTGCCATCCTCAGCCCTGCCCCGGCCAGCGCTTCACTCCGTGCTCCTTCCTCCCCTCCATCTGCTGACTGCATGGACTCAGCCCAAGCCTGGACACGCTGGAGCCATGAGATGGAAGGAAACTGGTCCCTGAGCCACAGCTCAGCAGACAGCTGCTCTGTCAAGAAAGGCTGTTGGATTGTTCTGAGAAAAATAATTTTTTTACTGTGCTAGCCACTGCATCGTTTTGTTTTTCAGTAGCATTTAGCACTATTTAAGATCGTGGGCCCAGATCCACTTCTGTAACAGGCCTCCACGGGCCTGAGTGGGCTACCAGAGTTGACCCTGATGCCTCTGCCAGCCCTCCAGCATGGCCACATAAGAGCACACCATCATCGTTTTAACCAAACAGTTCCAGGTCTTGTGCTTCATATTCTTTCTGAAGAGCAAGCAATAACTGAGACCCTCCCCTGGCACAAGATGTAGATACCTGTAGTGTGCGGTTTGGGGGTGTGTGGGCTTGGAGGGGAACAATCAACCATGTGCAATCTGCGACTTAAACCCCTCGATATGTGTGGGGCAGGACTGCCCACCTGACTGCCGACACACATATCTCAGTTGTTTCCGTACCCAGTGAGTTGTACACACTTCCAAATGCCTATTTCTAGGACTTTGCTTAAAGGAAGAGTCAGAACAAGTGCAGGGCAAAAAATGTTTAATTCATACTTTGTGCTCTAAATGGCTACAGCCTTTCAGAATTCTTGAGTTAGGACTGTAGCTACATGGAGGAAAGTCAGTATTGTGTCATCTGTGGGTAATTAGCACACCCAGATCCTTCAAAGGAGCCAAGTGCCCTTACGAATTACTATGTCAGTAAACACTAAACACAGTGAGTCAGACCTGAGTCAGTCTGCATCCGAGTGCCCCAAAGGCAGTCAGGTTATCATGGAAACACTTGCAGTCACATGGTTTTT